TTCCCAACATCCGCCTGGTATGTAGGTCACTCACGACGCTTAATCGAAGTCGCTTTTTAGTTTAAAAGCTTAAAATGGAATTCCAATATTAGTGCACACAAGTGTCGGGTATCAACCGCATTCCAAGTTGCAGTTGTTACAGTAGTCATTTGCGATGAATGGATGGTGGATGGGGCAAACAAGCATTGAAAACTTTGGCCTACATCAATTCTGTCAAACCAATACGAACGAGAGTTTTGGTTGGAATATCACTGTCGAATTTCTTACGTGGAGTCAGTATATGCGGAAAAGTCGACAATCTACGGAAGTTGTTATATCTTGCCTATGGGAAGTGCACACCTCGTGAACTCTGGGGGGGAGGCGAACCACAATCTTCCAGGACGAAGCTGATTTGTCGAGTCGAGGGTGGCTGATCGGTGGTATGATAAACAAGATAGAGCGCTGTGTGTTCCTCCATGGCACGTGAACCGACACTTGAACTGGGTCTCCCAGTGAACTCACGATAGTCCAGTGGTTAAGGTACGAGGTTCCTGACCGGAACGTCCGTGGTTCACATCCGGCATCTTGAGTGCTCCTGTCTAGACTTGGTACCTCAGCCATCCTGCTTTTTTTCGGGTAACATTGCAGCTACGCACCGAAAGGGTATTACGAGTGGACGCTTATCTTATCTTTATATTTCTCATAGAGAGGTCAATGCCACTTGACAGGATAGCTGCTGATGTAGTCGTGATTACTGCTTAAGGCCTTATGAGATTCTCGTCTGACCACTGCTAGAGCTTTCAGGGGAATAATATGAAAACCAACGTAACCAGCTCTCCTATCGTGGGTGAGTTGTTTCCACTAAAGCTGGCATCTCTGCATTACTGCAATTCTTTGTATCATCCCATGTCCATTATCTGATGAGATCGAGCGCTTAGCAGCAGATGCAGTCGATTTTCGACAGACTATCTGGTGTCACGGCAGCGTCACGGCTGAGAGGTTGACAATATCCGCTCGTCTTGATGGAAATAGCGTTCGACTGTCACTAACTGACTTCCATTTATTTCTCGATAGCATTGTGATAAGCCAGGATAGGGCTGCAGAAACTTGACAATTGTGTGATGAAGCCTAGGGAACTCTGACGGAAAACAAGTAGAAATCACGGCGCGATAAGGAGAGCAAACAACCAATGTCACTAAGTTCGGAGGTCACAAAGTGGCGTGTACAACGGTATTGCCGGGTTCGATTGAGTTGGTCAAATGAGAGAGCGCCTGTCTTAGGAAGCAGATTGGACTGGTCCGCAAAAGTCCATCTCGATAAACCACGAGCTGTTAAGCCGACTTATCGACCACACTGGACTGTACTGCATTAGAGGACGCGGACAGCGAGGCATAGATGACTAACTACAGAAGCTGCGGTCTTCAAGAGATGGATTCGATAAGATATGTTCATTTTTAGATTACGAACCACAGGAAGAGTCGATATCAGGTGAACAAACAAACGGACCACTATACTTTGTCAGTGAAATGTGATAGTCCATTTGAAGTGAGTCGATGTCGGAGTTTTTACCATGGATGATTTGCCGAATTCCTGCAATGATCAGAAAGTTCGCCCCACCTAAACAGTACGCATCAATAAGATACAAGAAAACGGGTATAAACGGAACCAACACACATTTATACGTACACGCCAACAGACAGTTAGGCACTTGAATTACCCAAATCTACGCAGAAGTTTATGCCAATTCTAAAAAACCGTCTTTCTCTGGCAAACCAGATGACTTGAAAAGGTCAGTGAATAAGAAAGATCTGGCATTCAGGCAAAGAATCACGTATTACAGTTGGTCGAACTATGTGCCAAGCGAATGTCGGACGAACGAACGGATCGATCTTTTGCGTGGTCCGTCGGTCGGCAGTTGAATGAAGTGGTATTCAGTGTCGAGCGTGTGGAGCGAACAAACATGCAACTTCGCTAAAGTTTTATCCAATCCAGCCACAAGTGAATGAAAACAGATTGTGGAATACGTCGCCGTGCTCCTCCAGCGATGGAGTGAGTTATGCATATGGTTTTCTTATCATCACAGAAATCCCCTGGGAGTTAACGTAATCAAAACCGCTGGTGACAACACTTTTTTTACAAGCCAGACAACCTTGGTAAAATGAAGGGAAAAGCGTTCAGCTGTAGCGCCCTTTTGATACCTAACTGCCATGCTACCAAAAGGAAACACGAGGGCTGGGATACTACTAGGTTGTCCAAGCCCAGATAGAGGAAGTCCAGAGACAGAGGTCGGATTCGAACGGCGGACCTTCCGGTCAGTGAATCCGCGCTCTAACGACTGAGCCATCTCGTCCGGTCTCGGTAAAGTGAAACTGATAGTTTGCTTTGCCATATACTCTATTATTCAAGTGAAATGAAGACTATAGGATTAATATGACACACCCAGAAACATATCACATGACTTACCGATTAAACGAATTGTACGAATTTTCGTAGACTACAGAGCCCCCACAACCCCCGCCCACCTGGCTGCCGGGAGACGTAGTAACGAGTGTGGAGTCAACTTGATCTGGCTGTTTTTGTTGGTGGTGCTGAAGTGCCGCCCCACTCGTAAGAAGGCCTAATTTAGACAGATCGCTCATCGGCATGGATACAGGATGTTGTTGGTAGATTGGGTGTTGTTGCGTGTTTTGATCAGACCGGNTAGAGCGAGACAGCAGGAATAATGCTTGGGTCAGTTCGACGTCCACCCAACGTTCCAAATCCGTAAGGACTAGCCTGAATTGAAGCCGGTTGGATAAGGCCTGCAGCAAGAAGCTGTTGTTGCTGCTGTTGATGTTGTAATAACGCCGCTTGTTGTTGAAGCTGTAACAGCTGAGATGCGTCTGTAGTGGCTAGACGGGCGGAAAGAACGGGAAATCAAAGGTTGGCTTGCGAAGCAAATTAATGGGGAAAAACCCACATAAATCATCCACCGAGTGATAAATTTCAAATTACCAGACATGGAGGCAGTGCATAACGTCTCAAATATTCTGTAAAAAAGATTATGTCCAGAAACATGAACCTGCAGCTTAAGACAAGCGCTCTCAGTTAGATTTCTATAAAACTATTTATCTTTGGATGAGTTAACCCGGCTCCCTAGACAGACCATTGTTTTTTCCAGGGATTTGAATTTTCCACACCCCAAAGAAATTCATGACCTGACCAACATTTTCAAAGACTACAAAACAATCCTGAACGACGTAGTTCAGGTTCCGCAAACTTAAGTTAAACCGTTGGAAAACGGGTTAACACTGGAAAAAAGATTCATAATTCCGAAGGGAGATATGTATACTATGAGATTTAGATTCAGTTGACAACCATCTTGCAGTGGATAGGATGGAGCTAGACTTTATCGTTCCTAATGCCACTACTTTGGGTCAGCATGTGGTAGTTGCTCATCGTAGAGTATTCATGAATTAAGTGCTGAGTTTATTGAATAATACCATTAGGACTGGAATACAAGTAGCCTTCCAGATCAGATCTGAACACGGCTGTTATATTAATAATTACCAATAATAATAATAACAATTAATAATTACCAATTTTTACCGGGAACACTTTGTGAAGAGTGTCAAGGTTTTGTAAAAAAAACATGACAGGACACACTAACTAATGACAAACCCTGTAATTACTCCCACAATATGGCCGCGTAGCTGCGCACGGCACTCGCAAGTATCAATCTTTTCGGCCCTCCATAGGACTAACCGACCGAATCTGTTTGACTTTCACAAGGTCCTACCAAAGAGTATCGCATGGGAATTGCGAAATTCGGGCCGCTCAAACCTATCTGTAATGGAGGCTGATATTCAAGTAGAAACTACTTACAAGGTGACGAAGAAACACTGCGGGTTTCATCCGTTAGTTGATATTAATAGCCGATTACAATGCTGCCTATGCTAAGGGAAAATTGAATGTTACCCATGCTTATAATCACTGCTTTGAAAAAGAAAGGAACGAGCAATAAGCTGTTGACAGATGCTACGCAGCTCACCGAGTAAATTCAAAAGTGCGTCGTGAAGACACCCAAAAAGATGAGGGAATCAAGCCACGCACTGTTTCATATTTAAATAAAGCGGAATACTGACTTAAAAGCAATTGGGATTTTTTGAATAAAATGCACTCGATAATTTGTTTTAAAAGTCATTTCAACGGGACTTATTAAGCAATTTTCTCCAAACTGGTAGAAAAATATTTTTGGAATATCTATAGTCACTAGAATACATTCAAATGAGCGATAAAACTAAGACAAATCAGCCGGGTTGATAACGAACTAAAAGACAAGTCCTCGGACTGGCTATAACCACTATGTGCATAACGGCCTCGACGTCAAACATAAAAATCAGGAATGATTTTATCCGCTGAACTGGGCGATGTGGCTGATAGCTACCGGGCGGAAGCATGGGAACTTGTGCTGTTACGCCATTCTTTCCGTTTTATCAACCTATTTACGGATGGTACGGCCGCACACCTCAAAGCCAAAAAGACAAGTTAAAGTGTTCTCGTGTCGGTCCAAGAAAGTTGTAAGGCACTTTTTGGATGCGGACAAGCGAAAAACATCAAATATGATGCCAGTTGAATGAGCCGTCCGAAGAGAGGGGTGGATGGCGGCGCAACTGTCACGTGACTATAGAACGCCGGTGAAACCATTACTCCAAAACAGATGTTGGCCTAGCGTGACTATATCATGGCAACTGCCCCTATGCAAAATAATTTATGCAACAGGTACGAAAAGTATGGAGAGATAACCAGGTGGATGTTTCAGAGCGATTAACGGTTTCTTCGTGCATTGCTATGGAGCCCCATATTGAAAAAGCATTGAACAAGCAGAAACACCAATTAATCTTCAACGATGCACAACCCGATAAGATAGGAGCGTCAACAGCGCATTGCTTGAGAACCTGAGAGAGAAATCAGATAAATGGAGCAAACAAAACGACGAACAAGGATCACGAACGAGGATGATGTCATTCTTAGAACCCACCACTGAATCCCAGGAAGGCGAAAAAGAAGGCGGGAAACACGATTATTTCGTGAGGTCTCAAACCCGTAGGCATCCTCCTACCCGAATACGAAACAGGCACAAGCCTGTTTTCGTTCACGAAAAACAATTGAAAAATATTAGCTTTGCTGCGAAAAACAACTGAACTTTCGAAGGGTTCACTTGAGGCACACTTGACCCAGCTTGTTACAGTCCTTGCAGATCAGAAACTCCGCAGCGAAAACAAGGCGACTGACCTCTCAGATATGCGCACTTTTGTACACTCGTGACCAGTTGTGCACCGAAAGTATGAGCACCCCCTTCCGTGATATCGGTTCCCTGTGCTAAGAACCAATATGAGATGATTGATATACTAGAGTCCGTCTTGCATCGGTGTCGACAGGTAAGTTAAGGTGCAATTCAGGGTAACTCATGAGGTGGAAAAACGAGGCATCACAGTGGTCCCCCGTCAAAGAAGACCTTGAAGAAACAGAAATTCGCGACAGGAAACAAGTTTTCCAGTCCCCTAACGCCTTATTGCGTAAGTCCTTGAAGAATAGGACACCTCGCCTCCGCAAAATCAAGAATATTACGAGAAACAATAGTTTCGAACAGGAAATACTATAGGATATTTCAATCAATGAAGTACACGAACTTTATTCAGATACGTCAATGAGGATACGCGCTAACCTGTGGGAACAACGATGCAGTCGAGCCTGGTGGACATAATAAGAGTAACAGTAGAGGCATTCTGACCCAACCTCAACACAACACCACAGTTTGACCACAAGGTCGTCCGTCGAATCATTCTGGAACACGAACGGTTGGCACCTGCCAACGTCACATTTATCAGAAGTCTGGTTGCTTAGTGCTGAATATACCACAGAGTGACGGTTTTTCAACCATACATATCTTTTATGCTATGAACTTGGGGGTGACGTCGACGGAACTGTCAAGGTCAACCATGAAACATAAAATTAGATTATCAGCATTGACAATAATATACCAGTAACATATACCGGTGCTTAACCGCCAAAGCTGAAAATTTGCGCTTACGTGGTAGGATCGAGAGTGTTAATTTCAGACTAGATTAGAAAAAGCCTCTCGGTTTTTAGCCCAAACCCATGAACAAGAAAACTTTCTTTGGAAATACGTTCAGGTTGTCAGGAACATTTTCTCGTCAGTGAGGAATACTGTAATCGTTGAATCGGTGGTCACAACTGGGATGGTGTTCTTTAACTACAGGGGACAGTAACTTCAAGTAGACGCTGTATAGTGGATAGAGAATGAATTGGCCAAGCTTCAAAATGACGAGACATCTATAAGTGAGAGGCAAAGGATGTATGCAAGATTCATAAAGTTGCAGAAACAAGAATGAGGGAGGATAACAGCTCCGCCGAACTCATTCTCCCAGTAAAAGTTTGACACAGAACCTTGTAGGTAGACAGTAGCGTAATGTTTCCACTAACTGGGATATAACCCTTCCATAGAGATCTTGGACACGTCCGACCGAAAGCATACGTCCCAGTAGAATGAACACAATATAGGGTGTTTTATTCCACCGCCTGTCCGCGAAATTAGATGTACCGAGTTCACAGCACCAGCGCGACTACTGATGCTAGGACGAACCTGTTCTGGTCGTTCTTGCGAGGAAGGTGGGAACTCAATCCCCAAAATGCATAGCAGGAACCTGACGGGAGAAGGGCGATTTGGGTTTTTTGGTAAGAGCGGTCCTTTAGCACATAAAAAGACGGTAATTACTGATAAGTGATTGAGCGAATAATCGAATTGAAGGAGTAACCCAGTCTCAAGGAGCGCACACTAGTTTCACAGCTTTGGAGGTGAGAGGACCATGTTGAAACAACCTTATCCATTCATGACCTAAGATGAATTATTTAAGGAGGATGACGTTAGGCAAATTTAGGCTTCAAACGGTTGGAGGAAAGGCCCTACGTTAGGCCAGCCAGGTCAATAGTGTATTGTAATTGCATAAAGGACAAATAACATGGAAAGCACTGCGAAATAGGGTGGTGGTATAGCATTCAGTCCACGATACACTTACGACACTTTCGCAGGCCCATTTTATTGTTTGATTGTTTCCTACGCGATTATCCCAATTAACTCGATAGCAGTGGGTGTGGAATGCCTTTACTAATGTACATTCTATTGTTTTTTTATATTTGCTAATCAGCGATGTTTAGTGCGACTCGCTGGCCTATGTATTCATTCGCTATAACATTACAAAGCACGTTCCGAAATTTCAGGGTCATTCTACCCATTCAGGTTGAGTATATCGGGTTGCATAGTATACAAGACACTAGGGAATACTACAAGTGGTTCGATGAAGAATTCGAGTGGTCACTATTAGATGTTTTCGGTAACAGGTCGCTGAGCTGTGAAATCCTTTTGATATGCAGTCGCCATGAAACCCAAAGACGGAAATATCAAGAAACCAATGACAGGTTCGGGTCACAGTTCCTCGGTTAGTAATACACACCTCGACCCTCAAGCAATCTCAAGCTCGAGTTGTTGGTAAGTTTGAACTGCCTGCTCAGTGTATCGATTCGATTCGGATCACGCAACAAAGGACCGATTGAAGCGCAACCAGGATTTCACGTAATCACATAAAAATTGTTCGGCTTCACTGTACCCGTTGACAAGTTGTCATTACCCGTTGGGTGGAACGAAGCCAACACAAACGCAAGGACAAATTGTTCGAGCTTGTTTGCAGACACGGAGTAAGCAGCAAACAGAACTGACTCCCCTACCGTCAAAAATGTAGCGAAACGGAAATGCAATTATTCCACTCTGACTCCACCGATAAGCGATTTGTTCGCTTTTATTGCGCGAACTGAGAAAACCCAG